CCCTCATCAACCGGGTATCACAAGAGCACCAGCAGTGATAGTGATGAGGAGTTCTTTGAAGCTCAGGATACCTTTGAAGAACACCATAAGGAAGACTTGAGATCTTCTTCAGTGTCTTCGCTAGACTCGAAAACAAAAAAGCTTGATTTGGAGCCTCTTGTAAATATTGATCCTCTTAGCCTGTTTGCCAGTGAGAGTGAAGACACTGATCTGTTCACTGGTAGAGGAGGAGGAGGAGGAGGGAAGGGAAGAGGAGAAGGAGTGCCTATAAGAATAGGAGCACTGAAACCATTTAAAGGATTGACTTTATTAAAATCTAACGAGCAACTTTATGTCCCTGAAACACAAGTATACTTCTTAATAACAGATTTTTATTGAATGTCATCTCTTTACAGGAGCAGACTCCACTGACTGAAGACATGTTATGGGAGCAACAGAGTGTTCTCTCTAAGCTAGGGACATCGGAGGAGGCAGCTCAAGTGAGAGCTAAAATGCAAAGCATGTCACTCCTCTCAGACATGCAAGCATTCAAGGTATGTGGAGGAGAACATTTTAAGACACACTTTAAAGTTTATTTCGAAATTGAATGTGGTACATTTTGCAATATTTTTACCTCCAAAATTAATTTCTACACGTATCATTTTGTAACAATTTTTATGTGCACAAAGTATAAGTATGTGTACTTAATTTTTGGTTCTAATAAATGCACAGGCTGCTAATCCTGGTTGTGTATTGGAGGATTTTATAAGATGGTATTCTCCACGTGACTGGATTGACAGCAATGATGATGATGATGATGATGAAAAATCCAGTGATGGTTTGGAACCCAAGGAAAATGACCCCAAGGTACAATAATATGCATATTACACGTACTTTTAATGTACGTTATACATGTACATGACATGTACATGTACATATGGGAGCTTGTGTGGTAAAGCGTAATACTTCTTAATACTTATAGGGTCGTCTTAGTATAAGAATGAGACAGGCTGGTAATATGTGGGTGGAAACATGGGACAATGCCAGTCCAATACCAGCTTACAAGCAGAAGAGACTGTTTGATGATACAAAAGAAGCAGAGAAAGTCTTGCACTGGCTGTCGGCTTTGAAACCAGCAGAATTAGTGCTAATGGTGTTACCTTGCTTGGTTCATTCAGCAGTCCTGCATCTTAAAAAAGAGCTAGGTAATGAAGTTGGTTAGCTCTAAAGTTTAATACACAAATTAATTACTTTATAGCGGGTTTTTTTTGCTTGGCCAAACTTTTTTTTAATTCTTCAAACTTCAAAAATAAAACCCACAAAGTTAAATTCCCCCCAAAAAAGCTTTGCCCAATGAAAGAAACCTCCTATACGGTACTACA